CTAAAAACATGGACAATAAAAATGCAACAATTAACAATAAGACACCACACAATTAAAACTGTGGGTAGGCCAAATGTAAAGTTAAAATTGGAAGTAATGCCAGGGCATGGGTGAAAAGGTGAAAGTGGCATTTGTGGAAAACATACAAGCAGACCTGAAATGTAAAGTGCTTTGGAGGCCTTTGCACAAGGCCTCCAAAGGCCCTGGCCTTTGACCTGTGGGGTCCTGCAAGGCTCCATTCTGTCTCCCTTGCTTTTTAACATCTACATGAAACCGCTGGGAGAGGTCATCCAGAGTTTTGGAGTTGGGTGCCATCTCTATGCAGATGACACACAACTCTACTACTTTTTTCCACCTAACGCCAAGGAAGCACCTCGAGTGCTAGATGAGTGCCTAACCACTGTGGCTGTTTGGATGAGGACGAACAAGCTGAAGATTAATCCTGACAAGACAGAGGTCCTCCTGGTTGATCGTAAACCAGACCAGGGTATAGGGTGGCAACCTGTGCTGGAAGGGGTTACACTCCCCCTGAAGTCAGAGGTCCGCAGCTTGGGTGTCCTCCTGGACTCTTCACTTACGTTTGAGGCTCAGGCATTGGTGGTGGCGGGGAGGGCCTTTGCACAATTAAGACTTGTGCGCCAACTGCGACTGTACCTCAGGAAGGTGGATCTGGCCAAGATGGTCCACGCCTTAGTCACCTCTAGACTGGATTACTGCAATGCACTTTATGTGGGGCTGCCCTTGAAAATGGCTCGGAAATTCCAGATGGTCCAACGGGCGGCAGCCAGGTTGTTAACTGGTGCTCCTTACAGGGAGCGGTCAACCCTCCTATTCAAGGAGCTTCACTGGCTGCCATTCATTTTCCGGAACCAATTCAAGGTGCATGTTCTTACCTACAAAGCCCTGAATGGTTTGGGACTCYCCTACCTACGTGACCGCATCTCTGTATACGAACCCACATGATCTCTTTGATCATCTGGAGAGGCCCTACTCTCGATSCCACCTGCATCGCAGGCACGATTGGTGGGGATGAGAGAGAGGGCCTTTTCYGTGGTGGATTCTTTATCTTCATCCAAATGAGGGAGCAGTACAAATAGCTGAACAAAGTACTTGAGCATAGGCTCCTCAGAGCAAAGCTGAACTGTATTCTAAAACACATACAATTATACCCCACTGGGTGTGGTCCAAACTTACTTGCTMACTTACATTAGCAGCTGCACATAATGATTAGCAGTATAAGGTTTTCTTTAACACACACATATACTTGATCCTGTTACAACTTACTGTAACAATCATCATCATCATCATCATACGAATATTTATTGGAATCCCACCTTTATATAAGTTAGCCTAATAAAGATATACCTCACTTAACAAAGTAAATGTGTTTCCGGACATTACTTCTTTAACAGAAATAGCATGGGAAGGATAAGAGGTAGGTTGTTTGTACCACAAGAAAGAAGATCAGTTCAAGATGTTTCAGTGGATTTTTCAAATCCAAAACTAACATGATGCATGTGTGAAATGAAACAATTTTGTCAGGTAAGCCTTGCATATGGAAACAAAAGCACCTTGAGCCTTCTAGCGACTACCTAAAGGCTTCTTCCAAAATGTGTCCATGGACAACTGTTTTGCATTACTTGCTGCAGACCTACTGCTGGAACTGGGCACATCATGTTTGTGACTCTCTAGCTCTCCTTCAACATCTTCCCAAAACTCCTTGAAATATCCATCTAAATGGATAACAAAGGGGAGATTGAGTTAGCACAAAAAGACTTTGATAAAAGAAGCTATTTTGTCAGGGGATTTGTTGATATGTGCTATTATACGTGAATGCAGAGTGGTTATAAAGGGTGCATCTGCACTGTAGAATGAATAAAGTTTGTTACTACTTCAGGTACCATGACTTACCACCTTATCATATTAAGAAATTTCCCAGTCGTAGGACACTTCAGCTTCTTTTGAAGCATGGAGAGGCACTGAGTTCATCACATGAGTTAAACTACTTCCAGCCATCATGCATTGCCCTCTATGGTTGAAAAGAGGCAGAAGTGTCCTGAATGGAGTGAATTCTGGCAGTCGACCTCATCATATTGAGAAATGTCCCCTTTGTAGCACACTTCAGCTTTTTTTTTCAAGCATGGAGAGGCATGGAGCTCATCACATGTTCCAGAGTTGAAAAGAGGCAGAAATGTCCAGAAAGGAGGGATCGCAGAACATGGGCCAGCAATCGTGTTCAGAGCTCCTACCTCTTATTGAACTTTACTCCCATGTTTACAACTGAAAAACAGGTGTGATGGGAATCATCACAGTTTCCTATCTTGTTCCATTGCCCAACTACCAGCAATTATTTTAACCTGGATCACTGTCTCTTGTCTCCTATGGGCTTTGATGAAGAACTATAAAATCCCATGGAAAGTAATGGTTTTAACCTGGATCATTTTCTCTTGTATCATGTGGACTTTGATGCAGCATAATAGGATCCCATGGAAAGAAGTAGTTTTAAACTCATGTTAGTCTCCTTTAATGGAAGAGGCTTTGGGCAGGGCAAGGGATCACTTGGTTTTTGGAAATTGTTGTTTCTCCTGATTAAAAGCAGAAAAGTAATGCTGACCTTGAGATGAATGTAAGATGGATGTATTGTCAGCTTCTAAATTTACATGTGTGATTGAGTGTGATGGGGAGGCAGAACACGAAACGGGACTACTGAAGATATGAGGGTCGATTCTTTACTCTTAAAGGGATGGTCACTCATGCTTTCCTCTCTCAATGTGATGAGGTGGATAGTGCTGTCAAATCATGTGAGTTGTAGCTTTACAAGGTCTTTAACCTTCTCTGCTGAATAGTACCTCATGAAACTACCACTTCCAAATTCCATAAAATTGAGCCATGGTGCCAAACTGTGTTGATTTTACAGTGTAGATATTCCCTGAGTGTCACAGGACTTGAATGCTGCAGAGAAAGCATTAGGCCCTTGCTGCGTGCACCAGAAAATAAAGCAAGTAGTTTAAGACAGGTTTTCTTTACTAATTCCTATCCTGAGACCCTGATTGATGTTTCACAGTCACTTTGATGCCATTGGCAAGCATTTGCTAGTTTGGGTCCACTGGCCCACATGCCTACTAACTTCCTCATTCTGGAATCTCATTCCTGAAGAAGCCATCAATTTTTCCAGCTGTGTTATCCGGTTCAACTAACCTATCTCCCTCTAGTGAAATGGTTCTCAATCTGTGGGTCCCCAGATATTTTGGTCTACAACTCCCAGGAATCCCACCCATTTTACCAGCTGTTAGGATTTTCTGGGGACCCACAGGTTGAGAACCACTCCTAGCCTACCCCTTTGCTGCTCCTGTCCAGAATATGTCTGTCTTGAGCACCTGAGAGTAGCACCAGATGCTTTGGGAAAAGAAGCCAGAGATTCCATCACTTTGCTCTATGTCCTAGAATCCTAGAGTTGGAACCACAAGGCATCTCCAGTCCAATCCCCTGCCATTCAGGAAGAGCACAATCAAAGCACCCCTAAGGCCCATTCCACACAGCTGTATAAAATCCACATTGAATTGGATTACATGGCAGTGTAGACTCAGATCACCCAGTGCAAAGCAAATATACACGTATAATAAATAAATAAATAAATAAATATTCTGGTTTATCTGCCTTGATATTCTGAGTTTTATGGTTGCATGGAAGGGCACTGACAGTTAGCCATCCAGCCTCTGTTTAAAAGCCTCCAAAGAATACTCCAAGGCAGTCAGTTCCATTGTTGAATAGTTTTTACGGTCAGGAAGTTCTTCCTAATGTTCAGGTAGAATATATTTTCCTGTAATTTGAAAGGAGATTCCTGTTCCAATTATTTTTTCTGTCCTGTGTCCACATTGCTCTCCTTGCTCGTGATGTACATTTTGGAGGCATCCCAGTGGCTATTGTATCTCTGCCTCACTTTCAATGTTTACTTCTTAACTGGGACAGTTTAAAACTTGTGTTAGAGCTCTGCGTTTTGATGCAGACATTAGCATGGGATGTTTTCTGCCTCCACCACATGCCAGGCAGTAACACTTTGCTGGTGAGTAGTTTTTGGTAGCATATGTACAGAAATTCTATAAGGTTTGATAGAATTTCCCCTAAGTTTGGGGGTAACATTTTTTTAGTTGTTGTCTATACAAAGAGTACAGCAACACTGTTGGGAGTCTTATGCCCAACCCGTATTGTAACATTTGAATATTTGGTCTTCAACTCCTAGAAATCACAGCTGGTCAACCGGGACTGTGGTGCAGCTGGCTCGGAGTCAGCTGCATTAAGATCACTTTTGACCGAAAGGTCATGAGTCCGAAGCCAGCCCGGGTCGGAGTGAGCTTCCAACCAAATGGTGTAGCTTGCTGTTGACTTTTGCAGCCCGAAAGACAGTTGCATCTGACAAGTAGGAAATTTAAGTACCGCTTATGCGGGGAGGCTAATTTAACTAATTTACGAGGCCATAAAAATCTCCAGAAAGCATGCAAAGAATGAGGAAGTACTTCATCAGTGTCACAAATGGACAGTGAAGTGACAGCTCCCCTGGTGGCCAGAATAACCTCATGAAAGCTGGAATGTTAAATAGCCTCTGTGTGCCTGTCTATATATGTTGTGTGTCTATGGCATTGAATGTTTGCCATGTATTATATACATTGTAATCCGCCCTGAGTCCCCTGCAGGGTGAGAAGGGCGAAATATAAATACTGTAAATAAATAAATAAATAAAATATTAGAGAAGCCAGAGATTTCAAGCTACTTGATCTTTTATGCCAGTCGAGTTAATAGTTGCAAATCCCACATGCAATTTCAGTTAAGATAATGACCAAACCCCAGTAAAAGGCTTTAGCAAGTCTGTGTTATTATTTTGCTGAGGTTCAGTAGAAAATGTGCTGAGCTCTTGTTCCATGGGTAGATTTCTGAAGCGCTTTGTCCCCTTGTTCTGAGTGTTTTCTTCATACCACTAGATATGTTTTTTTTGTCTCTTGTAGGTGCCAACAAAGAAGTTAAAAAAATATGAGAGGGAGTATCAAACGATGCGGGAGAATCAGCTGCAGCAAGAAGACCCTCTGGACCAATACAAGGTAATGGACAGTGTAAGATATTTATATACCTTCCATTGGTTCAGGTATGGAACCATCACAAACTGAAAGCAGTATTGTTTACAGTATTAACTTGCTATACGCCATAGTCCATTTAGTAATTATTATTTCAGGCACTTTATGATTCCTTTATGCACACACTTTTATTTTTTTTAAACCATGACACCACAACATTTTTAAGTGGCCTCATATAATATTTTTATTTTTTCAGTTTATATGTTTGTAGGTAACTCATCTGCTGTTGAACTTTTCTGGGGAACTGCATGACATGCTGAGAGAGAGAGAGAGAGTGAATGAGTGATTCTTCTGCCACTGACATACAAAGGAGGAAATGCCTTTGTCTGATTCCCTACCATAGGTACATTTTGGAAAGTGAATGCTTGCAGGGAGGACTTCGGACTTTTTGTTTTCTGTTCTGCCGATTTTCTTGATGATTTGTTAATATTTGTAGTAGCCTTGATCGCACAGAGTGAGAGGCACACATTTCATAAAGTATTGCCTTTTATGAGGCTAAATATTTATTTGTTTACATTGGCTACGTTTAAGGATAAAATGAAACTCCTTGCCACACCTGATTATTATTATTTTTTTGTTGTTGTTGCATGCTTGTTGAGCTTCCATTTCTAAAATATGTTCAGGTGTATCATAGTGGCTAAGTCAGTGGTTCTCAACCTGTGGGTCCCCAGGCCTACAATTCCCAGAAATCCCATCCTGTTTACCAGCTGTTAGGATTTCTGGGAGATGAAGGCCAAAATATCTGGGGAACCACAGGTTGAGAACCACTGGGCTAAGGTGAGTGAAGACATCTATCCATAATTCAAATCTCACATTAGCCACAAATTGACTAGCAAGCCTTAAATCGGCAATTATTCCTTCAGACTCGATGTGCCATCTCTGATATTTTTACTAGCTTACCTTACAGGGCTGTTGTAAGGATTATTGAGACTATGTATGTGAAGTGTTTTTTTTTTTTTTTTCATTTTTGAAATACACTCCATCAGTGATAAGTATTAAGTGTGAAAGTTTGCATTGTGTAAAAGTACTTACTGGTCCAATAAAATATTTTTCACTTCTTGAATGTTTGTTAATATGCTGTCCTAATAGATACTTTGTACCTTTAGATGGTTTCTGAAAAGCAACACATATAACTATCATTTCCTTAATGAGATAAGCCAAAAACTCATATATGCGATAAGCAGTTATGTATTTTTTCCTGTTGCAGTGATTAGAAACACTGAATTCTAGGTTGAAGTAGTTTTTTTCATGGTTGATTGACAGAGAACTGTCTCTTTGTTTAGCTAATTGATTAGATATTCTGGTTCAGTATATTCTCACTATAGATTTGGATAATTTTTGTCTGTTTCTGAAATGGGCCGTTGTTCATCATACAGACCCTTACAAATTAGTCTTTTATTGTGCAGTTTGCCTTATCCACATAATTCAGTGGTATATGTATGTGTAATTGTTGTCACCTTACACTTGCAGACCTACTGTGTTCTTCCATATCTTCTTCCCATTTTTTTTTTTACCACAGAAAACCAATTAAAGATGGAAACAGAACAAATCCACAGTACCTTTTGAGCAGAAGTTTCACATTAGTTGCTTTTTTGGCCATTAAATAATCCTATATATAAGTGATCCTGAACCTGTGGGTCCCCAGATGTTTTGGCCTTCGACTCCCAGAAATCCATCAGCTGGTAAACTGGCTGGGGTTTCTGGGAGTTTAAGGCCAAAACATCTGGGGACCCACAGGTTGAGAATCACTGATATATATGCCTGTGTGTGTGTGTCAAAGTTTGTATGCTTACATGCATACATGTTGGTTCCGGCCCAACTTACCTATCCAAACGTTTCTCCTATTATGAACCTTCCAGGAATTTAAGATCATCCGGGGAGGCCCTGCTCTCGATCCCGCTTGCCTCACAGGCGCGTTTGGTGGGGATGAGACAGGGCCTTCTCAGTGGTGGCCCCTCGTCTGTGGAACTCCCTTCCTGGAAATATTAGATCGGCCCCCTTGCTCCTGACCTTTGTGAAAAGAGTGAAAACCTGGCTCTTCGAGCAAGTTTTTGGAACCTCATTGTAATCAGATAACCCAGTATTGTGAATGAATATGGAATGGCCTAATGATGCAAATGGACATGGATTTTAACCCGGAAGTCATTGATTTTTTTATAGTTTTAAACTGTTTTATTATGTGATTTAATCTGTTTAAAATGATGTATTTATGTGTGTTCGGCATCTAATGTTGCCAGTCTGTACGCCACCCTGAGTCGCCTTCGGGCTGAAAAGGGTGGGATAAAAGTGTAGTAAATAAATAAAATAAATTTGTACGTTCGTATCACTAAGGCTCCTACATGGCTAGATGGATCTGGACCAAACGTGGCACACATATCCTTCACTACTCAACCTAAAACAATAGTGAAGTTTTAACTAATAAATCCTACCAATTTCGGGAAAGAAAAGGAACAGGCAATGGTTTGATGAAATGGCCCTTTGTAATATTACTGGGAAAGAAAGGTAGCGAAGTGGTTTGTCTGATGCGTATGAGGGTGAGGGAAGAAATGGGGGGGGGGAGAAAGGGAAAGAAGGAAGGAAGTTGGGGAAAGGAAAGAGAGAAAGAAGGAAAGAGAAATGAAAGGAGGTAGAAGAGAAAAAGAAGGGGGAAAGGAAGAGAAAGGAAAGCAAGAAGAGGTGAGAAGATAAATGAGGGCAAGCAAGAGGAAAAGAAAGAAAGAAAAGAGGGAGGGAGAAGGTCTATGTGGTAAATGGAGGAAGAAAGAGCTACAAGGATAGCCTGCCCTCCGTTGCTAGAGCATTGACATGGGGACATTGTGAGGTAGGTGGTTTCAGAGCTGTAAAAGGACGAAAGCAGCCTGTTGTTAACACTCGGGCAAAGCCAGGTATATACACAATTAAAAATAGAAAATGCAATTAATGTAACTTCTCAATCTTCATGTTCTGATTTTGTGTGTGTGTCTGTCAGGAGTGACTTGAGAAACTGCAAGTCGCTTCTGGTGTGAGAGAATTGGCCATCTGCAAGGACATTGACCAGGGGACACCCAGATTTTTTGATGTTTTACCATCCTTGTGGGATGCTTCTCTCATGTCCCCGCATGGGGAGGTGGAGCTGACAGAGGGAGCTCAACACTCTCTACCTGGATTTGAACTGCTGTCCTAATCTAGAGGAGCATTCTTCAAGTTACCTGTTGACTTATGATAACCACATGAATTTCATAGGGTTTTCTTAACCAAGGAATACTTAGAGATGAGTTTTCCAGTTCCATCCTCTGAAATATAGCTAACAGCACTTAGTATTCATTGGTGGTCTCCCATCCAAGTGCAATCAGGACTAACTCCAAGATCAGCCAGGACCAAGGGCCTTTATGGTATTGGTCGTTGTACTGAACTCTAAAAACCTATATACATATTGTTAACAATCGGTAAATGATTTCCCACAAGTGTAGGGTTGCCATATTCCACTTTCTCAAATCTAGGCATCTAATTTGCATTTATGCAAATTATTCTAATTATGTGAACTTGCCCCATAAATTGTTGCCTTTTTATCTTATAACTGATCGATAGAACCAGTATAGAGTAATGTTTAAAATGTTGATCTTAGAACAAGGACACTCAAATTCAGTTCTCTGCTTCACCTCGTGATCATGGGCCTGTGAACATGGATCATGGCCTCTCTGCAACCTACATACCATATATCCAGACAAATAAATGCAAAGTAGGTTAATTAAAAAAGACAATATTTTCTTTATCATTGTTTGGACCCATTTCCAAAGATTCAGATATTCACATTGAGCATCTATCTTGCATCGTGGCCATGTATCCCTTCCATCTTGCACACTTGCTGCTCACACTACTCATTCTCCTCTTCTGTTTACTCCCTAATTTCATGCCCCTCCTTTGCTTCTTGTACTCTTGGCATTTGCATTGCTAGCTCTCCTTTCCCTCTTCCTCCCTCCCTCAACTCACCTCATCTGCTCATAATGCATCTCTTTGTTGTCCTGTCATGCACACCCCTCCAAAATTCATGGGTTGGCTCACTTCATGCCCTTGCAATGCACCTTTCCCTTGGTTCTTGCACTCTGCCACTCATACTGCTCACCCTCCCTCCCTCCGTTCCTATCTCCTCCCACTCCATACCACATACTCTTGCGATATGTCTCTTGGTCTCTTTTTCGTTTTGCACTTTCCTCCTTGCATCACTCACTTCCCCTTCCCTTGCACCTAAAAGGCAGAACCAGACCTGTTTCATGCAGAGCAGTTCTACCAAAGAGTGTCTACATATTTTCCCCCATTTTGGCCCCTGCAAGGACTGGAAATACACTTCTAGGTTTGAAGTTGGGCCTTTTTAAAACTGTAAAAATACATGAAAGGGGCAAATAGATTTAAGATGTGGTTTTCAGCATGGTTGTGCTTCTCATTGAATAAGATTTGCTTATTTTATGTTCAAGAAAATCTTGAAAAAACAGACAAGGCAGCAGACTAATGATTTAAATCTCAGTTACCATGTTAGCCACACAGAACAAGTGATATAACACACTTCTGCATCAAAAATATGCTAATTTCCCCCTGTACTCTAAGAGACCTGCAAATTTCGAATACAGTACAATCCCCACCAAAAAAAAAAAAAACATAGGAGAAAGAGGGCCACTGGACCCTGAGAAGGATGAAAGGGTAGAATGTGAGACTTAAGCAACGTGCAGTCATTGAATTCTTGACAGCAGAAAGTGCCATCCCAAAGGAGATTCATCAGAGAATACAAGCTGTTTATGGTGATTGTGTTGATGTGAGTACTATGCGCCATTGGGCGAGTAAGTTTAAAGATGTTGAGGTGGGAACATCTGACTTGCATGACAAACAAAGAGTTGGACGTCCTGTGACAGCAACCACCGAGTTTCACAAGCAAAAGGTTGACAGATTGATTCAGGATGATCGTCGTATCACTCAGAGAGAAATTTCAAGCATAA